ACGGTAATTTTGGACGGACCTTAATAAGCAGTGACTTAAGTGAAGCAGGCAGGTCACGCTAGAAAATTTCGTTTAAAAAGACGTCATAATTTTTTCCCCCGTCATTTTTATTTCTAAAATATGAAGTAAAAACTCCCAATTTAATTTTCATTCATTTTTCTCCAGAATGCATTACCTGCACTTCTAATATTTACCTCTCAACGTAGGACTCTTTCATTAGGGTGCATGCACACCAGTAGTTTTTACGGTTATTCATGGGGCAAAATCTCTGAAATTTTTGAAAAAAAAAAGAAAAAAATCCATCTTCCAGTAAAAGCAAAGCATCCAGACCACCTCTCCAAATGCGTAAAATGTGCATCACAGCCACTAGGCGTGCCACGCGCACCATCAGCTACGTCAGCCCAGACAACAGCAGAGCAAATAAAGAATAGAGGATAATTGTGTCTGGATGTGGATGGAGATTACATTTTACAGCAGTCTGATCATCATTTAAATACGTAAACCATCACCTGTCTTCTAGTCCATCAGCATTATTTTAATTGGTGTGTGTGTGTGTGTGCGTGCGTGCGTGCGTGTGTGTGTGTGTGTGTGTGTTTGTGTGTGTGTGTGTTTTCTACTTCAAACACTGGTCTAACCAACCAGACCAGCATGTCCAGTAACATATTAATGTTACAATTAAACAGTTTCACTTCATGTAGGCTAGGAACATTCCACCTGCCGTGGCCCGACCGCTTCTGCTCCACATAAACTTTGTGCGTGATCAAATGTCTCTACAGGTGCTTTCTGAGCTGAAGAGGCTATTCTGCCCCAGACTGGATGCGTCATGCGTCTCCATATTAGAGACGGGAACAAGCACTACTCAGCCAAAGTTTCATAATCAGCGAACATTTTTCCAAGTGACACGTCCCTCAGAGAGACCGAGTTTCCAGACCATTTCAGTGGGAGGAAATCTTACCGCATGCGCGCTGTGAACCCCTCTACAGATTTTCAGCTCACTGTCCACTGTGTGCGCTCCGAGCCGCGCTGAGCACATGTCCAGTATAAAGCTCTGATGTTCTGATGGGAGTAATTTTTTGATTGATTTAGTTTCCTCCGCGATGTGCGTAACTATTAAAATGTCAGCTCATCTGTGTGCGCATCAGTGTGCGTCGGGGTAATTCTTTCAAAAACAACCAACATCCTTGAGTTTATCCGTCAAAATAAACAGTCAAATGGAAATATCTGTAACCTGCCATTTAACTGTTTTGCCTTCTTGTGAAGATTGTTGCAAAGAGAAACAACTAAACTTGATTAACCCCAGAGCCATGCGCACTGCGCTGTACGTCGTGACTGTAAATGAGGGGGAAACGATTTAATCGGATCCTTTTCTTTTCAACATGGTTTAATGTAAAGTTTCGTTCAGTACAAACTTTAGTTACACCAATCTAACGAGACAGAGCTTGGATTTGTATTCTGAACAGTTTAAACATGTTTAAAACGGAGACATGCGTGACGCATCTAAAATTTGCACCTGCTCCGCTATTGTGGAAATTAAACTAACAAGATGAATAACATCAAATTATTTTAGGCACAGACAACTTCACCCACACTTTTGAAAATTTTGCAGCACGCTTGACTAAGATGAACCAAGTTGGTTTACAAAACAAACATGCTTTAATGGGAGGGCAGCTTTTGGTTATCAGCCTTGTTTTGTCAGAATCCAGGCTTTTGGGGAATTTGCTTGTCAGTCCATCCTGTGGTGACTGGTATATTCCATTTACAGGCAGCAAATGGATTTCTCATTTTCTCTTAAAAATAATATTGACAAAGCAACAATATTTAAAGTTTTAGTTGCAACTAAGGATCAATCCCAGTTCCTTTTGTTATTGTAGCTATTGGCCCTTATTTTCAAGCTACAATACAAAATGGGACACAGCTTCCATAATTTGGTACATCATCCATTATGATTATTTAAACCGATATAATAAAACAACCAAAGTTTGCATTTTAAAGAGGCAGAATTTACCAATTTATAATTCTAGGTTTTATTAAAAGTAAGTGCATAAAACATGGTCAACGACAAGAAACAACAAAACAACAATATTTGGTTACATTGGGATATTGTTGTGTTACTTGGGGACAAGTGTGTTCGTAATCTGTGACTGAGGGATTAACAACAAACCAAACATGGACACAAAGCTGCTATAAAAGCAGAGAAGAGCTGCTACAGAGCCAGCATGTGATGAGAAGTAACTGACTGAATATGTACCTTTTCAGGTAGATTTGTGCTTGGAAAGTGGAACAGTAACAATGTGGAGGAATGTTGCTAGAAGCCACAACACTTAGCACTGGTTGCATTGTTAAATACATCATTTGTTGTGAGGAACGTTAACAGATCTCAGGACAGAAACATGATTAGAACACCTTTTCTGTGAAGATAACCTTTACATATTGGCAGATTTAAAAAAAAACATTTTCACAACAAACCCAAATTGCCTCACGCTTCCTTTAAGGAAATCCAAAGTGCAGCAATCATGAATCAATGTCAGATTGTTACTTCAGAGTAAGGAGGGTTTCAACCTACTCTCTTTTTGAATACACAAACATTATATACATATATACAAACAATTCCTTTGCAACATGAACTTCATTGTTATTGGAGCTTTCTGGAGGAGAAAAACCTTGGTCCTGTCAGTGTTGAGCACATAGAGCAGCAGGGGACAGAGGGAGGAGGGAACTGGAGCACATCCTCAGTGAGAAGGGAGACACTATCTTGTGTGGAACCCCCTCCCCCCTAACTCTCTGCAGACAGCTGATGTTTATCTGCTCTGCCCATCTGGGCCTTGTGACTGAACATCTGGTGAAGCTGCCACTGTGTGTGCAGTGTTCTGCAAGTAATGACAGTAAATGGGCACTGCTGCTGCCCCCCCCCCCTCCTTTAAAAGTGAGGAGCTACCGGGGCTGGGAGGACTTTATCCTCAGATGTCAATGCTCATTCCAAAAACCTGAAGAACCAGACTGCACTCTTGACATTTATCTGATTATTTTGTTCAACAGTAATTATCTCGACTTCGCCTACAGATATTGTCCCAGTGTCTTCATTAAGCTCTAAAACAATACTGAGGAAAAAAATTGTACAAAGTGATTCATTTTTGCAATCAAATTTTTTATTTCCAAAAGTCGTTTTTGGGCCAAATTTGCTGCAAATCTTCACACGAGGTAAAATGAGCTTTTAAATTTATAATAATGTGATTTAGTCACTGATATCCTCTTTCCTCAAAATTATTTTATAATAATACAGTAAATATATTTACCAGCAAAACAATAACAAGTACCGTTTTAATTCTCCTTATAAAGCATTTAACATTTTTCTTACAAGAATTTTTTTTAAGTTTCTTTCTTAATTCTTTCTTTCTAAGCTGGTCTAACTAACGGGAATAATTAGAATTCCAGTTTTAATGTAAATTTAAAATATTTGTGTGAATGCAGTGTATTTTTAATACTGTATGAAACATGAAATATAATTTAACATTTTTTATCTGAACTATTTCTTGTTTGTTAAATGTCATTGTTTGTATTTGGACGGTGCAACAAAAGACACTTTAATTCATTTGTTTGAAAATGCAAAGGTGGCTTGAATAAACAGGCCAAATGTTTTCTTCCATGTTCACCAATAATATATTACATTTTCCATCATAATAACCTGGAGATCTGATCTGCATAAACGCGTTAAAGTGGTTCTTATTAAAGCTCCTACAGGTTAAGGTGGCTGGAAGCCAAGCACTGACCTCCTTCTCTACATTCATCTTTGAAACCATTTGTCTATTTTTATCAATTTGAATAAAAACAAGTTGATGTGCATATCTTTTCCTGTCCTTCTCTGCAAAGCTTTTTCACAGAATGAGATGCTTTGCAGTGACTGCTAGGCTTTCATCCATTATGGATGCTATGTTTTAGAAGGATGATTTGTGCAGAGTGATATAAATAGATCCTTTTGCTTCCCGGCAGCATGAGAGGTGCAGCTCATGACAGGGCCACTTTGTCGAGTAAGAGCCTTTATTATTTGATTTGATGTCCAAAGTTGAAGAAAGCAGAGCCCCACGTGTGACAAGCAGATAGAAAAGGCTCATAGCTAGCTGCAAGCCACTGATCTTCAGAGTTCTGCAAGGAGAATGTACTCACAAGTACAGAAAAATTCTGTCATTATGAAGTCTTCACCAACAGCCACGTATCTCCCCTCATCATTAAAATAATCACACAAAAATGATAACTCCAAAGTGGCAGGTTTCACAGCTGGTGCAATGTTGTGCAACTTCGTCAACCTGAATGAAATTCTGCCCCTTGTGTCCTCTGTAACCAGCCACGCCACAGCAGGAGGCAGAACGGTAGCACACAGGAGCAGCATGGGGTGAAGCCCGGCAGCTGTGTGTGTGTGTGTGTGTGTGTGAGACGGTCAATTGAAAAATAAAAATGGATGGATGCATTCCTCTCCTACTGTGTCCTCCAGATCCAGCAGTTTGTTACAGTGGAGAAGTTACTCTTTTGTGGACGTGCAACAAGAAGGCGTTGTTTAAAAGGATTTATCGAGCCTTAATTTAGCAGTGTACTCTATAATATTTGGATTAAAGACTCTAAAGACAATCATAAGAGGTGGGTGGGAGTGTGCCAAGCAACAGCAAGTTATTTATGCTCAAGAAACGTGGAAAGAATTCATTTCCAGGTGCAAGATTTCCAATGCCGAATGCTGGTTTTTATTTTAGCTTGAATAGAAAATCCAGTAACTAGACTTGAGTGTGAAGCTAGTGTGCTGTACACCACCGAATGTGATGGCAATTGAAACAGAAACCATGATGTAGCAGCTTGTCTCTCACCCACTTTGTAAATAAACTCATCTTTACAGAGATCACATAATTGAGATTCAGTTTCATCTTGTTCTTCCAGCTATTTCCATAATTTGCTGTGTCTGCTGCTTTTTCATGCTCTCTCTCTCTCTCTCTCTCTCTCTCTCTTTCTCTTTGCAGGAGCCCAATGTGGACCCCATTGTGACTTCCTGTCTGCCTGACACACCGAGAGGAGAGCTGAATGTGATTGTGTGCTTCAGAAAACAGAGAAGAGAGGCGAGCTCTCCATCTTTGTTCTTGCCTTCTGAGAGTGGTCTCTGTGGACTTTGCTTCAGCACACTCTGCACTGTTTGGTTACTGCATGTATTCGCCACTCTCAGGTGCAGGAAAAGAGTAAAACAAGGAAGACAGAAGAAAGGAGAGGAGATAAACCGAGCCAGGCAACATGATTAGTGTTTCTGACTTTGAGCCAGAGCTAGAAATCATGAGAAGAGAATTCTGAAGACGACCATGTTCTGAAAAGCATCACAGCTTACCTCCAGGACACTTGGAAGTGTGTGTGTGTGTGTGTGTGTGTGTGTGTGGATTTATGTGTGCACACTTCTTTCATTTTCAAAAGACTTGAATTTGTATTTGAATGTTGATTTAGCCTTCCATTATGACTTTACAAGTGGGCTTAGTGAGACAGTGGAAAGATGTTTTCTGCTGGGTGTTGCTGCTGGCTTGTTATGCCTCCATCACCTTGGCAGCCAAACCTAAACTGCCAGGACACACACACCTCAACTCCATACGCATTGATGGGGACATATCTCTGGGTGGTCTTTTCCCAGTGCATGCAAGGGGGAATGATGGCAAGGCCTGTGGTGAGCTGAAGAAGGAGAAAGGGATCCACAGGCTGGAGGCCATGCTGTTTGCCCTGGATCGCATCAATAACGACAACGAGCTGCTGCCTAATGTCACTCTGGGGGCCCGCATTCTGGACACGTGCTCCCGGGACACCCATGCCCTGGAACAGTCGCTGACATTTGTACAGGCCCTGATTGAGAAAGACTCCACTGATGTGAAGTGTCTCAGTGGAGGACCACCTATCATCACAAAACCTGAGAGAGTGGTCGGGGTGATCGGCGCCTCTGCCAGCTCCGTGTCAATCATGGTGGCCAACATTCTGCGGCTTTTTAAGGTCAGTTTGCTCCACTTTTATTGGCATTTCTTGATATGTTTGCAGACATGGGTCCTTAAAAACATGCATTCTACTGTACACACTTCAAATCTTCAAGAGAAAAACTAAATGAGCAAATGCAGGATTTGAATGTCTGCAGCCAGTAATTAACTGAGATTGTTGCAAGGCAGTTTCCAGAATGTCTTTAAATGTTAACAAAGGCCACTCAAACATCAAAATCAAGGGGTCCGGGTACCGGGCTAGGTCCAGGCCTAGTGTGGTACCCATGATGCCTGGCAATCCAGACTAAATAAATGTACTATTTAGTTTGGGAATGCTCCATTGACGACTTTCGGTCATGGGACTGGTTCTACCATTGCCTTTCAAATGATCTGCGCATGCTACTGGACAACAAACAACGTGATGTACTCTCTGCAACGGATTTCGGTCAACGAGACAGTTCACTGTTGAAGGCGAAAACGCATATTAAAAAAAAAAACAAACAAACATCTATTTGCTCCTGATTCTAATAAAGCCCAAGTCCAAATAGTCCAAAATTGTTATACTCAGTCGCATCATCCCGCCCACCAAACAACAGAGTGCTTTGATTGGCCCACAACGCCGGCTAGTTCCGGTGTACTTTTTAACAAAAATGAGCCACATCATCAAAGTGAGGAACGTGCCAGAGATTGATTTGAAGAAACTAAGCAGTGCTAGCAACAGAACACGTTTAAGGTATGTCAAGTCTTAGAAGAAAAGAGGTTCTGTTATTCAGAGCATGACACATATAATAAAATGCAAACAACTTGGTGCATAACTGGAGTCTTTTTGACTAAACTGCTGCAGGAAAATTTACACATATGTTGAGTGATTGATGCGATTTAATTTATACATTGTCAAACAATTTCATTAATACCAATGTTTTCACACCAGCCCAGTGAGATACTGAAATTAATCGTTTCAGGTTCACCATGCACCACTTCAACTTGCCAGTTCTTATTTCTCTTCTTTCTTCAGGCTGTCTGTAGTTTTTACCCCACCCAGAAAACTAGGCACTGGTCATTACACTATAATTCACTTCACTAATGACAGTAATTTGCCCAGGAGTCTCAGTGCTACTCTAATTAATTTGGGGAAGCCATGCATGGATCCATGAGCTCAGTAGACTTGGATGTGTTCAAAATGAGCTTCATCACCACAAAAGGCCCATGGATCCAAACAGACACAATATATGATGGCACTACCTTTATACTGGTTCACACCATCACACAAAACTGCAACTGATAGAATGACGGACAGCTAGAGGGCATTAGCTATTCATTATAAATGCAACAGATGTGGGCATGCTTTGTGAAAATTTCAAACTGCACAGCTAATGTTGATTGTCTCTAATGTCAAACAACTGATGTCTAATCATCCCTGTTCCTCTCTATTGGCCAAAATTTAGCACCAAACATCCCTGGACAGGCTCATTCTTCATTATCCTAACCATTGTACTTTTAGTTGGAAGCCAAGAGCAGAAAGCTTCTGATTGTGTTCAAAATCACGAAGTAAGATCTGTTTTTTTTACTCATACTTCAGCTTCCCATAGGTTCCTATAGAAGATGAGGCTTGGTTCACCTGCTGTCACATTGATTCAACTCTGCTGCCATTCTCAAGCCGACTTAAAGCTTAGCACAGAGCTGGAAGGTGAATATAACGTATGCAAGGCAGGCAAGCCTGACTGATGTGTCACAAGTGGGGTGGAATAAATACTCCACACCCATGTCCTCACTACCTCTTCAGAGAACTGTGGATGAACTATTTACGTTAGTCGTTTTCTAGAGACATGCTCAGACCTGTTACGCAACCTTTGCTACTGCGGAAACGCACAGTCTAATTATCCTCACCGCTGAGTGAAAAGGAAGCCGGTGACATATCTCACAGGGGAGCTGTCTCATTGTACAGCACTGCAGAAGAAAGTCGTCTGACTACAAACATGGGTTAGGTATTTCATCCTGTGGCAAATGTCAAATCTCTTTAGTCTGAATGTTGAATACACTCACTTCCTTTTTGGAAGGTGTTTCAGCGGTAATCCGCAGTGAGCCTTTCTGATCAAGTGCAGTCGTGACTTTATTTGGCAGTAGGGACGCACTGAAAAACAGTTGCTTAGCTTCAGTTTCACTGCAGCTTTTAGATAGATGTAAAGGTCACGACTTTAAGCAAAGAGTTCGAGTAACATGTACACTGAGCCAGAAACTGGAGAATCATGGGATGCAACTTGTTCTGTGCAACGGCCCTTGTTTGGTTGTTTTCTGCTCCTAGAGCATTGCCTGGTCAGCTTAGACATGTAATCCTTTCATCTCTGATGTTGCTGCTCCAATCTACCGTTCATCTCACGCTTCATTGTTTCTCACTTGTTGAGACCTTGGAATACTAAACTTGAGAAAGGATCTCCCCTGACCTGGATTTAACAATCCACTCCGTTTCGTATGTAGATGTTCTGATCTTCATCACGCCTTTCATATCAGATTTTGAACCTAGCAAGGCCACCAATGCTGGTAGGGCTTTTTACAGAAAACATCTGAATCACAAGAGCACAACGTTTCCCCTCATAGCCCTGTAATGGCAGACCACTATTTGGACTGTACTTTGTCCCAAACTGCATGTCAAAGCCTGCATTGGGAACACATTATGTTTTTTTTTCCCTCCATCCTTGTCTGAAAGGGCATGGAGCAGCACCATCTAAGTCTCAGCGGTCCTTGTCAGCAAAGCCATTTTCTCTTCTCTGTGAATGTTGTGCAGCCTAGATTCTTAGAAGGACCAAAAGGGTGGAAACATGGAAGCAGCAATCCAGTTAGATGAACAAAAAGCCTTAAATATCTCTGTCCCACGGGCTTCAGCTGCTGAAACAACAGGACCTTGAGAACAACTTGGCAAATCCCTAAGAGGAGAACAGTCAAAAAGCTGCCACTTTAAGCAGGATGCGCCACATTTCAACAGAAACAGCAGCTCATGACAAGAGACAACTAGCACATGCTCTGATATCAGAGGCAGACAAAACAGCCTCTAGAGGTAAGCATCTACAGCTCTCTATGTGCTGCATGCGTTTCGAGGTTTTCGGTGCCATGTTGGTTTACGTCTCCTGGTTTACTTACGGCTATCTTGACTTTAGTATCATCAATGTTGTGTTACACCTGTCCTGTATTCAGTCAGCCTTACTCTGTTTCCGTGTTCTTAGTTCTCCTGTAAAAATCTAAAGCCTTATCTTTGGTTCATACCAGTTGGTTTTGCATCCTGCCAGGTGTAGTTTGTTGATTGTTCCCACCTGTTCCGATAATTATCTCTATAAGTATACATGTTTCCTGGTTTCCTCTGGGGTTTTGGTCCTTTTCCTTCACAAATCAAATCAAATCAAATCAAAGCTTTATACATAAAGTGCCTTCCCTGTCGGGAAGCCCAAGGCGCTGAACACGGTACATGAGAAAAACAGGTAAAAACATTAAAGTAGAAAACAAATGGGTAAAACAAGAAATAAAGAGACCAATGAAAGCAGGGAATTAAAATCAACATAAATGAAGGCCTAACTCAAACACATTCAGGGAATGCCAAATGGAGAAGGTGGGTTTTTAGGCGACTTAAAGGCTGGCAGAGATGGGGATAGCCTGACTGAGGGTGGCAACTGGTTCCAGAGTAACGGGGCTAGGACTGAGAAAGCCTGGTCCCCACGAGTACGACACCTAGAACGAGGGACAGCGAGCAGGCCTTGGTCAGAGGAGTGCAGAGCTCGTGATGGGGAATGTCTGTTCAGGAGCGTGGCCAGATATGGGGGAGGAGTACTCTGGAATAAATTGTAAACAAAGACGAGGAGTTTAAAGTGTGAACGATAACAGACCGGAAGCCAGAGCAGGGAGGCCAGAACTGGACTGATGTGGTCCTGTTTTCTGGTCCCAGTCAGAAACCTGGCTGTGCTGTTCTGCACAACCTGTAGGTGGTGCAGTAATGACTGACACAACCCTGCATATAGAGAGTTGCAGTAATCAAGCCTAGAAATTACAAAAGCATGGAGTACCCACTCCAGGTGGGCTGTCGACAGCATAGGCTTGATTTTTGCAAGGCGTCTCAGATGAAAGAAACTGGACAGGCTCACAGAGTTGATGTGAGCATCAAATTTAAGTCCAGCATCAATTTTCACCCCCAAACTGGTGACAACTGGTTTTGAGTAGGGAGAAAGAGGGCCAAGATCAACATAACGACCCACAGCCCTGCTGTTGGGGTGAAAAACAATGAGCTCTGTCATTCCCTCATTCAGATGCAGAAAGTTGGCCATTAACCAATACTTTACCTCGTTAAGACAGGACACAAAGGACTGGATAGAGAGACCTTTCTCTTGACACAATGGAGAGTAAATATGGCAATCGTCAGCATAGAGATGGAACGCTAGGCCATGATTACGAAAGATTGATCCCAGCGGAAGCAGATAAATGGCAAACAAAAGAGGACCAATGATCGATCCCTGTGGGACCCCCCAGTGGAGCCCCTCCCAAGAAGAAAACACATCACCCAGTTTAACACAGAATGTCCTGTCGTGGAGATACGATCCAAACCAATCCAGAGCAGACCCTTTGATCCCAACCCATCGTTCCAAGCGATCCAGTAGAATCGCGTGGTCAACTGTGTCGAAGGCTGCTGTCAGGTCTAACAACAGAAGCACCACAGATGTACCCTGATCTAGTTACAGATAGATATCATTTAAGACCCTCAGTAGAGCCGACTCTGTGATATGGCCAGACCTGATTCCTGATTGGAAAACCTCAAACAGATCAGAGTCAGCAAAATGTGAGACCAGCTGCTGATAAATGACTTTCTCAAGCAGTTTTGATGTAAAGGGCAGGGTAGAGATAGGCCTGTAATTTCCGATCACAGAGGCATCAGCACCAGGTTTCTTCAGGGTCGGCCGAACAACTGCTGCTTTCAAAGCAGCTGGGACCACACCTGTGCTGAGGCTCCCATTGATAATCCGACCAAGTGATGGGCCAAGA